GACAGGGTCTCTGTCGCTTAGGCTGGAGTGCAGTGGTGCGATCATAGCTTCATACCTCACTACAGCCTCAGCCTCATGAGCGCAAGCAATCCTTTCACCTCAGCCTCCCGAGTAGCTGGGACTATAGGCATGCACCGCCATGCCTGGCTAATTTTTGTATTTTATGTAGAGACAAGGTCTCACCATGTTGCTCAGGCTGGTCTCAAACTCCTGGACTCAAGTGATCTGCCTGCCTAAGCCTCCCAAAGTATTGAGATTAAAGGTGTGAGCCAGTGTACCTGTCTTCATTGTACTTTTGTTTTACATTTCCCTAGTGACTAATGGCATTGGACATATTTTCATGTGCTTGTTGGCCATTTGTATATCTTCTTTGGAGAAATGTGTATTCAAGTCCTTTTGTTACACGCCAAAAGAATGAGGGTCATGGTCAACTCAGTATACCACTGGAGGCTATATGAGTAAACAGCAAACTGTTTCTCATAAATGCAGAATGTTGGCAAACTGACAAACTGTGTCTGCCACCCAGAAGGAATGCTGAGGGCAGTCATGCCCCAAGCGCAGTGTTTCTTGTGATTAGGTACATCTGAAGCCTGTTAGTAATAATATGAACCTGTGATCAATTAAGGAGCTGACCAATCATTACCTCCTTCCTGCTCATTCTACCCAATAAATACAAAGGGCTGTGGAAGCTCAATGGGGGAGCGGCGGGGGTGGGGGGGCTGCCTTTGCTCACTAGAAGCAGAGAGCTCTCTTCTTCCCTGGACTCATCCTTTAAAACAGTTTCTTTTGTCCTAAGTTTTCATTTCTATGTTTGTTCCCGTTCATTCAGTCTTGTAATGACGGTCTCAAGTACTAACAGTAGTAACTGTCGTAATGATGGTCTTAAGTAGTAACAGTAATAACTGTCATGGTGATGGTCTCAAGTAGTAACCATGGCAGTCTACCACATCCTTTGCCCATTTTTAAATTGAATTGTTTGTGTTTCTGCTGAGTTGTAAGAATTTTTATATATTCTATATAATAGACCCTTATATGACTTCCAAATATTTTCTGTCATTCTCTGGGTTTCTCTGTTTTTTAGAAATGACATCTCACTCTATTGCCCGGGGTGGTCTTGAACTCCTGGGCTCCAGTGATTCTCCCAGCTTAGCCTCTTAAAGTGTTGCTGGGATACAGGCTTGAGCCACCTCATCCAAACTTCATTCTATGGGTTTTTTCACTCTCTTGATAGTATCCTTTGACACACAGTTTTAATTTTGGTGAAGTCCAATTTATTTTTCCTTTTGTTGCTTGTGCTTTTGGTGCCACATGTATGAAACCCATTGCCAAATCCAGAGCCATAGTGACTGGCTTCTTTACTAGGGTTGGGAGCTATGGCTTGCCCAAGGCCATGTCCCCAAAGTCTCTCACAACTTAGCACCCAATGGATGCTCACCAGATGTTTGTAGAAGGGATGACTATGTAGTGGGATGTGAGCTGGCCCTTGGTGGGGAGAGGGGTTTGTGTAGAGGTATAGCCTGACCAGGGACATGACTTTGAATGGACGTTAAGGTACCTTGTAAGCTGTAAGATGTGGTCTGACCGAAGAGGGGGTACACATGAACAAATTGTGGAATTCTGGGGGATAGGTAGCTGAGTGAGGCCTTCAACGGTGGCAAGGGCTTCTTCCATGTGATTATGGAAACCTAGATCCATGGAGGAAACTTGTGAGTAGTGGAGAAAGTTCCTCGGGGGAGGAAGGCTGGCTGTGACTTCATCTTTATACCATACTCTCTAGAATAGGGCCTGGTCAGTATTAGGCCTTAGTAAATATTCCAGTGGCCTGATGAAGGAGACTTTTAAGATATTTACATGAGAGGCTTTTCATGATATAGTCCTCCTTATATATTCTACTCTAGCTCACCCTCCTTCCAAACTTGACCTTGACTTTCTTTTTTACTAGATTTGCCCCTCTCCCTGGGTGCTGTCAGCTCAGCTGCAGTACATCCCTCATAACCCTGCTTGGAACATCCTTGCCTCTCCTCTCCTATCTAATTCATCTCATTCCTCCAGGCCCAAGACAGTATCCAGTTATCCACAGAACCTCAACACTACTACTCCAGCACATCAGTGTGTGGCTCTGATCAGCCATACACTTAGCCATACACTTACCAGAGCTTAGGGTCACATGATCTTAGGTTCAGATCTCAGGCTCCAGTAGTTACTGTGTAACTTTGGGTGGGCCAGTCTCCCTCTCTCTGCCTTGGTTTCCTCATTGGAAAAATGGCAGTAATAACACTGATAAAATAGTTTTGTGACAGTGAACTGAGATCATAAATGAGATATAAAACCCTTAGTAAAGCATCCAGCTCATAGTAAGTGGTCAAAAATGGTAGCTGTACTGTTTTCTAGTTGTTTTCTGTATTTGGCTGTTCTCGTGTTGCTACAAAGAAATACGTGAGGCTGGGTAATTTATTTTAAAAAAAAAAAGGCTTAATTGGCTCATGGTTCTGCAGGCTGTACACGAAGTGTGGTGTTGGCATCTGCTTCTGATGAGGGCCTCAGAAAGCTTCCAATCAGGTGGAGGGCAAAGGGAGAGCCAGTATATCACATGGTGAGAGTGGGAGTAAGAGAGAGAAGGGGGAGGTCCCAGACTCTTTTAAACAACCAGATCTCATGTGAACTAACTGAGCGACAACTCATTTATCACTAAGGGGACGGTGTGAAACCATTCATGAGAGATCTGCCCCCACGATTCAATTACCTCCCACCCGGCCCCACCTCCAACACTGAGAATCACATTTCAACATGAGATTTGGAGAGGACAAGCATCCAAACTGTATCATTTTATATATCTAAATCTTGCTTCCTCCACAAGATTGTGGGTTTTTTTCTTCGGGGCAGGGGCTGAGTCTTATGCTTATTTTAACTCGTATATTTGGCACAAAGCTAGGACTATAGTAAGTACTTAAGAAACATTTGTTGGTTTGAGGTGACTTTATGATTACTCGGAGTTACTTGCTTTAGGAGACAGTATATCATTATTAAATTCTATATTATTCCACTATTCATTTTCTGAAAGGCAACTTTTGCTTTGTTTTATGGGGATCTGGGACTGCCTTGTGGTAATCTGATTGTGTGTGTGAGCAAGTGTGTGTGTGTGTGTGTGTGTGTGTGTGTGTATGTGTGAGAGAGAGAGACAGAGTGGAGGGAATGGTGGAGGTAGTGACAATTGATTCCCTAAGGGGCAGAGCCAGCTATAGCTCACCATCCTAACCACTGCCTCTAGTTTTCCTCTCCCAGCCCTAGAGCGGGGCTGTTATCTGCCCAGGGCAGCTGTTATGGCCCTGACTCCCCTGGGGAGGGCTGCTCAGGCCTTCCTCATTCTTCCAGGCTGCCTTTTTCCACAAAAGGAAATGAGGTCTTTTTGACCCTATCAGACTTCTCTGCCAAGGCATCATGTTTTGCAAGAGGCTATTGCCCTGGCTATATACAGTCCTGGGCAATGTGCTAATATTAAAGAAGCAAATTCAGGATAATGGTTACCTCTGGAGGAGGGAGGCAGGGCTATGAGCTCTGAGATAAAGCTTCAGTTATCTCTGAGGTGTTTATTTTTTATGCAGGGCTGTGGGGCATATGAGTGTTCATTTATTATCGTGAACATTATATGATCTTGAATGTGCCGCTTATTTCTATGCATGTATTATCCATAAATATTACCATATTTTTAGGGTATTTTCCAGCCTTATATATGTGTTGTGAAATTTTATGTGTACTTCAGCTACCTGTATTTTTTGCCTGACAGTTTTTGAGATTTGTCTGTTTTTTTGTTTGTTTTTTGAGACAGAGTTTTGATCTTGTTGCCCAGGCTGGAGTGCAATGGCATGATTTTGGCTCACGGCAACCTCTGCCTCCCAGGTTCAAATGATTCTCCTGCCTCAGTCTCCCAAGTAGCTGGGATTACAGGTGCCCACCACCATGCTCGGGTAATTTTTTATATTTTTAGTAGAGACGGGGTTTCACCATGTTGGCCAGGCTGGTCTTGAACCCCTGACCTCAGATGATCCTCCTGCCTCAGCCTCCCAAAGAGCCGAGATTACAGGCGTGAGCCACTGCGCCCGGCCTAGATTTGTCTATATTGATATATGTAATATGAGACTTTGTATTAATATTCCATTTTATAAAGAGATATATGTATCTTTTCTGCTATGGGTAGACATTTTAGTGGTTTCCTATTTTTCACTTTTGCAAACAGTGCTATAACAAATAGTCTGGTATGCAGTTCCTTGTGCCTAAGAGAAGATACTTGTGTGGGGGTGGACTGGCTAGGCCATAGGACATATATGCCTCTCTCTTTGTTCGTACTGCCACATCGCTCCTCAGAGCGATTGTCCTGCTTTACCTTCCCACCAGCAGTGCACAAATGTTGATGTTGGCTATGTCCTTGCCAACCCTTGGTAGTTGTATCTGTGATTTCTCCTTTCTCTCCAGATCACCAGAAAAGGTGGGAGATAAGGTTTTGCAATTAAAGGAGAATGTCAGCTCTGAAGAATTTCCTGTTACATTTACTTTAATGAGGAAAAGATTTTGTTCTCTGTTTTGGTGAAAATAATGTTTAGACCTCTGTGGAAAACAGTTACATACACTTTTTATTCTGAAGCAGAGCAGTTTTTTCTTTTCTTTTTTTTCTGTTCGCATTCTTGGCAAACAAGTAGGAAAGACCAATTAGGAAGCTAATGTTCTAAATATTTACTTGCAGTAATAGTCATTTTTTTAATGTTTTATGTAGCATGGAGCATTAGGTTTATGTTTACTGCCTTTCGATGTTTTGAATTGGTTAAAATGAATTAAGAGTGTGACACAACTTTATGGATAAAGATTGATCATAATTATTTGCCACTTTATTTGCATTTTGTGAGGGAAAAATACATGGTAAGAAAATGTGTTGACATTTTACAAACAGGTTAGAAAAGTCATAAAGAGTAATTTTGGCTATTTTATGTTGTCTCTTATGTTCACAGGTGGGAAAGGAGAAGTTTCACAAATCCCAACATTGGGGCTTTTGCAACAATGTTATGATGTTAGTGAGTGATGAAAAGCCTGGAATAGGTGGAGAACCACTTCTGGGACAAAAGATAAAGCCGAAATGTAGCATATATCCTAAAGGAGATGGAAGCGATGTACCATCATGGGTAGCCTTTGATAAACAGGTAAGTCACATGACATTGGGAGGAATGCAATCTTAGAATTTTACAGATGCTAAATAGCTTTGAGAAAGTAGGAGTCTTCAGTGTAAATGTTAAGGCTAATTCTTTTTCTTTTTGCCTTTTCTACTTATTATTGCCTTTATTTTTAGTGTTTTATTTTTAGTGTTTCTCCCCTTGTCTTTATTTGTTTAAATTGACAAACATAATTGTATATATTTGTGGTGTACAACATGATGTTTTGAAATATGTATACACTATGGAATGGCTAAATTGAGCTAATGAACATATGCATTACCTCATGTGCTTCTCTTTGTGATGAAAACACCATCTATTGTCTTACAATTTTCAAGTGTACAATACATTGTTATTAACTATAGTCATTGTGTTATACAATAGATCTCTTAAACGTATTCCTTCTAAGTGAAATTTTGCTTCTTTTGACTAAGGTCAAATTTATCTTCTGAAAAGATAAATTCAAAGTATCCTAAACAAAGAAAAATTATTCTTGCTCTGCTCTTTTTTGTCAGGCACATTGGTTGCAGGATGCCACATGTTTATCTTTCTTGGCTAATGCTTATTAACCTTTCTCTCATCTTCACTGAACAGGATAATCTGTCCTGTTCAGAGTCTGGTCAGATTGTCACTTTTGGTTTTGAGTTGCCATTGACTAAATAATTGTATTTGAGTCTGAACGTGGCTTTACATAGGAATAGAAAAATGCCTTCTCTTCTTTTCTCCATACTAACTAGTGATAAACCATAGTAATGATTCTCCATCCCTAAGGGCTAAAATGTGATATGGCAAGAAGAATAGTGAAAGGAAACGATGCCATTATTAGACAAGAGCTGGAATTTTTTAATGTATATGTCTATACACATACACACACACACATACATATGGACATATTGGCAGTTAGAAAAGGGAATGTATTTGAATATTTTTTAAAAAGGCTAAGATCAAAGGAAAGAAAAGGCAACCAGCTATATGGATATGCTGTGTTGATCAGACAGCCCTGTATCCCAGCCCGATGTTCTGTTCTCCAGAAAGAACTAGTTATTAGATTATTTTAGATCCTGTAAGTGCAAGATAGTTCAGGACTAGATAAAGAATTTAAACCATAGCATGCTAAGTTTGCCAGGTGGTTTTTAGCAGCTTTCAACATGGATTGATTGGCAGTACTTTGATTCTAATTAAAATGTCCTCAAATTTGGTAGAATTGACACATCCCCATGTCATCTGTGATAGGGTAGATCAATTAGAGTGCACTTTTTTTTTTGAAGCCAACAGTGATCTAACAGACCACAGGGAGGCTTCCTTCCTGGGAAACCATCTCTCCTTTCAACATGGGCCAATATTCTTTTCTTTTCTTGGATTATTTTCAGTACCTGGCTCAGTGCTGGACCCAGACCCCAAAAATAATTCTGGACTGACTGACTTGGGTGGATTATGCATAGTTTTCTGTTACTCTCAATCTTATAGGATGTTTACTTTGCATGGGCCAAAGAAAAGATTCTATTTTTACCTCATGTAAAAAAGAGGGTATTGACAATATTTTAAAACTAATCCACTACTGAATAAGTAACATAGGCCACAATGTATTAATATTAAACTATTCTCTTGCATTTCAAGTCAAAAAGTCATTTCATGTTTTTCTCAATATTTAATATATGCCTTTCAAGCCGATTTTGCAGGCCTTTAATTACTTATAAAGTTATGTAGAATATTTCGTGAATCCGGAATAATTTTAGCTTCAGACTACTTGAGAAAATGAAGAGCTTGCTCATTTCAGGTCTAACTAAATGCAACATAATTCTTTCAGTTATTTTGTTGGTCAACTTCTATTAAATATTCATTGAGCTTTAAATGAGACACTAGGACTGAAATATTTACGTGCTCTGATGAGACTGTGAACTACAGACTAGATCCTGGTTAATACCCCAAGCAAATTATAAAGCGCTTTCTACAATAGCGGTTCAACAAAAACAAGTCAACGCCTGTTAATCATTTTTCTTAAAAATGAGACATTTTCGGTGCACCCCGTCCCAGCCGCCCGGTCCAGGCCCCTCACTCTCCTTCGCTGCACCGCCACCGGGCTCTCCGTCCGCGTCCCGCTCGCGCACATCGCGGACCCGCAGCAGCTGCAGCTCTCGCGGCTGAAGGGGCTCAGCCTGGGCTACAAGGAGAACACGCCGCCGGCCCTGAGCGGGACCCGCGTCCTGGCCAGCAAGACCGCGAGGAGGATCTTCCAGGAGCCCGCGGAGCGGAAAACTAAAGCAGCCGCCCCCGGCGTGGAGGATGAGCCGCTGCTGAGAGAAAACCCCTGCCGTTTTGTCATCTTCCCCATCGAGTACCATGATATCTGGCAGATGTATAAGAAGGCGGAAGCTTCCTTCTGGACCGCCGAGGAGGTGGACCCGTCCAAGGACATTTGGCACTGGGAATTCCTGAAGCCCGAGGAGAGATATTTTATATCCCATGTTCTGGTTTTCTTTGCGCAAGTGATGGCATAGTAAATGCAAACTTGGTGGAGCGATGTAGCCAAGAAGTTCAGGTGACAGAAGCCCGCTGTTTCTGTGGCTTCCAAATTGCCATGGAAAACATACATTCTGGAATGTATAGTTTCCTTATTGACACTTACATAAAAGATCCCAAAGAAAGGGAATTTCGCTTCAATGCCATTGAAACGATGCCTTGTGTCAAGAAGAAGGCAGATTGGGCCTTGCACTGGATTGGGGACAAAGCAGCTACCTATGGGGAACGTGTTGTAGTCTTTGCTGCAGCGGAAGGCATCTTTTCTGGTTATTTTGCATCGATATTCTGGCTCAAGAAACGAGGACTGATGCCTGGCCTCACCTTTTCCAATGAACTTATTAGTGGAGATGAGGGTTTACACTGTGATTTTGCTTGCCTGATGTTCAATCACCTGGTACACAAACCATTGGAGGAGAGAGTAAGAGAAAGAATTATCAATGCTGTTCGGATAGAACAGGAATTCCTCACTGAGGCCTTGCCTGTGAAGCTCATTGGGATGAATTGCACTCTAATGAAGCAATACATTGAGTTTGTGGCAGACAGACATGCCGGAACTGGGTTTTAGCAAGGTTTTCAGAGTAGAGAACCCATTTGACTTTATGGAGAATATTTCACTGAAAGACGAACTTCTTTGAGAAGAGAGTAAAGGAGTATCAGAGGATGGGAGTGGTGTCGAATCCAACAGAGAATTCTTTTACCTTGGATGCTGACTTCTAAATGAACTGAAGATGTGCCCTTATTTTGCTGATTTTTTTTTCCCATCTCATAAAAAAATCAGCTGAAGTGTTATCAACTAGCCACACCATGAATTGTCCATCATGTTCATTAACAGCATCTTTAAAACTGTGTAGCTACCTCACAAACAGTCCTGTTTATTTATAATGCTGGTAGTATCACCTTTTGCCAGCAGGCCTGGCTGGCTGTGACTTACCATAGCAGTGACAATGGCAGTCTTGGCTTTAAAGTGAGGGCTGACCCTCTAGTGAGCTTGGCACAGCAGGATTAAACAATCATTTAACCAGCACAGGCAGTTGAAAGATGCAGCCTCCCTGCTTCAACACAGATTTTAATGTTTACTTAAATATAAAACTGGCACTTTACAAACAAATAAACATTGTTTGTACTCACAAGGCGATGATAGCTTGATTCATTTGGTTTCAACACCAAATACCAAGCATTCTCCTGACCACTAATGGGAGCCAATTCACAATTCACTAAGTGACTAAAGTAAGTTAAACTTGTGTAGACTAAGCATGTAATTTCTAAGTTTTATTTTAGTGAATTAAAATACTTGTTAACCAACTTTAAAGTCAGTCCTGTGTATAGATAGATATTAGTCTATTGGTGCCAGATAGAAGACAGGTCGTGTTTTTAACCTGTGGCTTGGGTAGTGTCCTGGGATTCTCTTCTCTGAGTAAAGTGTTGTGGGATAAAGAAATCTCTCAGGGCAAGGAGCTTCTTAAGTTAAATCACTAGAAATTTAGGCATGATTCAGGCCTTCATATGTGTGAGAAGCCATTTCATTTTATTTCTTACTGTATTTTCCCCAACTTCTAGTTGATAAGAAAAAAATCTTGAAGAGTTTTCATATGTGGGAGCTAAGGCAGTATTGTCAAATTTCAAGTCATCCTTAAACAAAATGACCCACCTAAGATCTTGCTCCTGTTAAGTGGTGAAATCAACTAGAGGTGGTTCCTACAAGTTGTTGTTTATTCTGGTTTTGTTTGTGTGTAAGTAGGTTGTGTGAGTTAATTCATTTATATTTACTATGTCTTTTAAATCAGAAATTTTTTATTATGTATGTCCTTTTAGATTTTGCCTGTAGTTCATACTTTAAAATAATCACCCAGTGTCTTATTCTAGCATTGTCTAAATCTGAGTATTATCTAGGGGAATCTTAAACTTCAGTAGGAAACCATGAGTTATTAATATGGTTTCCATTCAAATAATAAGTTCAGAGGGAAACAGAATTTTTTTTTTTTTTTTAAGACTGAGTCTTGCTCTGTCGCCCAGGCTGGAGTGCAGTGGCGCGATTTCGGCTCACTGCAACCTCCACCTCCTGGGTTCAAGCAATTCTCCTGTCTCAGCCTCCCGAGTAACTGGGACTGCAGGTATGTGCCACCACACCCGGGTAATTTTTGTATTTTTAGTAGAGACGGAGTTTCACCATATTGGTCAGGCTGGTCTTGAACTCCTGACCTCAGGTGATCCACCCACTTCGGCCTCCCAAAGTGCTGGGATTACAGGCATGATAAACAAATATTCTTTATAGGGCTACTTAGAATTAATCTGCCTTTATGTTTGGGAGAAGAAAGCTGAGACATTGCATGAAAGATGATGAGAGATAAATGTTGATCTTTTGGCTCCATTTGTTAATTGTATTCACTATTTGAACATTGTCCTGTTCTATTGTTAAGTTTTCTTCATCATTTATGGTATAGTCAATTTTTAAATCTCTGTAATATACATTT